ATCAATTTAATTTTTAAAAATATATTTATACTTTGTTTTCAATTATAAAATAAGAATTTCCATTTTTAATTAGCTTGCATCTGAGAACAAGAATAATTGGACTTTGTATAAGAAAACTGTATCAGAGTGGAGTGGAGTGGAGTTATAATCTTTATAAGAGACAATACTTAATAAAACTAGAGACTTGAGTATAAGTTTAAACAAGCCAGAGCGCTGCAGCGTCCTCTTTAGGCAAGCGTTGAGTAGAAGATGAGTAGCATATAAATACATATATAAAAGACTTATACATAAAGAGTTGAGTATAAGACAAATGTAACCAGCACACGTGAGTTGATCTAGTTATAAGACAAATGTGCCCAGCACACACATGAGTCGATTATAAGACTATACTTTGCATTTATAAGTAGTAGAAGTAGAAGTAGAAGTATAAGAGACCAAATGCACTTAGAATATAAGATAGAGTTATAGTCAGAGCTGAAAACAGCTTGAAATCAACTTATGACTCCATTCATTCTCTCAGAATACCCTATACTTGTACACACCCAGGGTATACACGCCTCATCCACTTGCTTCTCTGCTCCCTTCGATTCTTGTGTGATAAAAAAAGAATAAAATAGTCGAGCGTCTATAAACAAAACAATATAATTAGCATAATGCCAGTTGCCATTTGGCTGTCTATTTTCGGCGTCGGCAAATCGAATTTTGATTGCGACCTGCCGTCGTTGTTGTGGGCGTGGCCATAAGGCAAAATCCAAACGTAATTACTCAAAGAGAAGCAGAGCTAGAAGTTAGCTTTAAGCACAGTTATTGATTTCGCCAGCAAAAGATAGAGAATCTTTTGCTCAATTGAAATTGTTCCAAACTCAAGCCCAAACCCGAGGCACATTCAATTAGCAGCCTGGCAAAGCAAAATGAAATCGAAAATTGCCAAATTGGCAAAATTGCTATTAAATCGTTTAGCTCATCACTTTCCAAGACATTAAATAACATGTTGAACGGCCGCTCTTGGGGCCATGTGGCCCCAATAGGGCAACAGCTGCCTTGAGTACATTTTTAATAGATGCTAGTAAAATATTAAACATATATATTATACATATATATTCGTAAATGTTTTTGCTGCCTAGACAGACTGTATAGCATAGTGTAGTAAACTTGAATCTGTAGTGACAGCAGAGAACAGCCGTGGGAACTTAATTGATTGGCTGAAATAATACTTCAAAGGTTGCCAAAGCATTAGCCACTAAATAGATTATTAGGGTAACGAGAGAGGTAGGGAGAGGAAAGAGTGTTTCATAGTCTGGTTTCCACATAATCAATAAGCAATAGTGATTGAAGTGAGCATGGCGCATGGCCAGGAAGCCGAATGCTATTTAATTGCAGCTCAAGTGGAAATTCTTGTTGAATAATAACTGAATGAAGTAGCTACGAATTGCTGCAAAAGGATTGATATATGAACAAGGATGAACAAGGATGAACAAGGATGACGGTTGCTTGAAAATATATTAATTGTAATTACAGAGAAAAAAGTAGTTGGAGAGAAAGCCTTAAACTTGAAGTGTATGATGAAAATTTTTAATGAAAAGTAAGATGGGAATATGTAAAAGAGCGAGATGAGCGTCAAAAGAAAACTGAAAAATGAAAAGAGATTTTCAGATGCCTATCAATGGTAAAGATGAAGAATGGAAAAATGTCTGAAATTAATTCAGTAAAGGCGAAAGTTTGATGCAGTCTGAAAAGGAGCTGCCACATCAATTAAAAACTATAATAAACTACATGAATTTATAAATATATAACTCAAAAAAATATATAAAAAATGCAACATTAAAATAAAATATAAAACATTCAACATTAATAATAATAATATTTTAATTTACACTTTTACATAGCTAAATATATTTCGTATACAGAGATATGCATAATAAAATATATTTGAGCATATAAATTAAAATTAAAACAGCAATATAATTAATTACAAAAGGCAATTAAAACAAACTGTGCTTGCTGTCTATCAAACCTAATTTATATAAATTAAAATTAACATAATCTATCAAGCAGAATCATATTTTCTCATTAACCAGAGCCGTGCAAATGAGTGTGAATAAAATTATGTATATATAGTATATGGATATGATTTATTATTTCAGTGAACGAAATGAATATGTAGCAAATGCAATGAAATTAAATCAAAGCTGGCCATGATTTATGGCCAAACTAATAAAAGTGACTTTAATTTCAGTTAAATCTGAATTAATTCTGCTTCTAATACAGCCATTTAATTGGCGCATTACAATTGAAATCCTCTTTTTGTGTGCTTTTTTTTTTAATTTATCCAACGCTGGCAGATACTTGGCTTTAATTGCCATTTCAAATAGAGAGTCATTAAATTGTTGCTAAGTAACTGTGAAGCTGCTCAAACGGCAGTCTGGAAACTACTTGATTAAATGAGTGAAATTCTACTAAAAATCTTTAAGAGATATTTTTTACATATTTTAAACAAGTCTAAAATCTGTGTAAAAAAATAAAAATAAAAATAAAAATAAAAGTTTGCTTTATTGATCTGAACTGAACTATAAAATCTGTAATAAATATTTTTTNCATTGTGGCGCATTGAAGTTTGCTGGTGAAACGCCCGGTTTGTGCTGCCTTAGTGGTAAAGTGACATTGCCATTAGCGGTCACCATAGCCATTGCGTTCCCTGCTTTATGGCGAAACACTAGAATCACGACATTTTCTAGCGAACACTCAAAAATACAATGCCTGTTTCCAAATGACATAATTTGGGGCGGAAAATATTGGAGACGGATATTTAAGGTAATTTACGTTAAAAATTTTATTTTCTATGACTGCCAAAAAAAAATTTTGAATAATGTAGTTTGTTAGATTTCTGTAAATAGTGTTTGTAAATATAACTATAACTATGGCTTTGAATTTAAAGATTCAAGGCCAGATTTGCCATCGCATTGGATCATTGCAACCTATTGAAGATGCACAGCAAAAATTCTTGCAAATATACTTCATGGGCAATATGGAAGAACAACTTGACCGGCGTCAAGAAATGAACACAGCTATGAAAAGAGCAATTCTCCATGATTTGCATGCTTAGAAATTTAAACCAACCAAAACTGTGCAATGGAACGCGTTTGGTGATAAGAAAACTGATGAGCAATGTGATTCACGCGTTGATACTCAAAGGAAAATTTAAAGATGAGGAAGTTCTTATTCCTAGGATTCCGATGAGCTCAACAGATATGCCCTTTGAATTTAAACGAATTCAATTCCCGCTTCGTCTTGCCTTCGCCATGACGATCAACAAGTCACAGGGCCAATCTTTGACTATTTGTGGCCTCAATCTAGAAAATGCGTGTTTTTCTCATGGTCAATTGTACGTGGCATGCTCACGTGTTGGCAAACGATCCGCATTATTTGTTCTTGCACCCGACCAAAAAACGAAGAATGTCGTTTACAACAAGGTGCTTGAATGAAAATCCGATTAATAAATTTATCAGTGTATCCCAGCCTGAACAACATAGCTTTCAACAATTTTTTACCTAGAAATAATATAGAGGGCAATGCAACGTTTGCCGGGCCAGCTAGTTAGTTTATATAAAATTAGCTTCAAAATCATGTAATATTTAGCGTGAGTCGAGCTATTTATATTTATTTCTTATACACTACATTAAATTTTACATGTCTTTAAATTTTGTATGCCCATAATTTTTATTTTTTTTTATTTATTTATTTATTTATTTATTTATTTTTTTGTGAAACTCGCCAATCTGCTTGCACAAATAATATTGTTCATTACACGCACGATTGAAGTCAATGAATGTCTACTTGTTTTTGATTTTTTTATATTTTTGTGGGCCAACAAAAAGTTGAAATCTTTAATTAATATTTTTTGTTGTCATTCCGTAATTGCGTTTTTTTTTCTTGTAATTTATGCAACTGCGTCGAGTGTGTGTATGTATTTGTGAGTACTTTCTAAGCGGGCTACAATGTGGTTTATTCGTTTCATTTCATATATAGATATATTTATTTTTTATTAAGACAAATGTTGATTTTATTTTTGCATAATTTATGGGTCCGAACGCGTTCAATGAACTGCACTTGTTGTTGGCCATAAATTGAGGTATGAAAATGATATTTTAATTGTCAGAGAGCACATTTAATTTACGTTTTGTTGTTTTGCACTTCATTTATTATGTTTGTTTTTTATTTTTTCTATTGCAATTGAAATAAACATCTAATTGACACTTACGCCTCGGGGCAAATGCATTTCGGCACGCTGAGCTTAACACCTTGTTGCCAGATTTTATTTTGATTATTATTATAGTCTTTAGTTTTTTCTGGAAATGTGTTTTTTTGTTTTTTGCCTTTTGTTTTTTAACTCTTTTTAATTGTGTAAACAACGCGCAGTTTTTTCGCCGTTTTGTTGTTTCTTGCAGCGCTCCAGCAGCGTCTGTAGTAGAAATGGAATTGCATGGGCAAGTGGCGCTCGTCGCGGCTTAAATATGAAAAAAATCAAAGAAAAAAAAAATGATAAATTGGCGGGGTACAGTGAAACGTGCCACAGCACGAAACGCTAAACAAGTGAGAGTGCAACCGAGTGCGAGCGAGCAGGCAATAGTTGGAAGTGAAATAAAAACATAATCAAACACGCAGACAAATACACCACACACACACACACTTGACCAGCTTTTGCTGCTTAGTTAACAAATAGCAAACAGTGAGAGTGTGAAAGAGAGCTAGATAGAGCGAGAGAGATGGAGACAAGGGGGCAAGATCGTGAGAGTGAGAAAGGCAGCGCTGCTCGGCTGCTCGGCTTAGCGGTTTGTGTGTTTATTTGCAGATCGCGACAACAGAGCGCCGGGGCGAGCTCTGCAGCGTTGCGGCAAGTGCTTCAAAGCGTGGCATAAACATTGCATTGCAGCAGCCGAGCCTGTCTCGACGACCCATGAGCGCGCTGCAAACAAGAAAATCAAGTGCAGCTATTAGACACAGGTAATAGAGACACAGAGAGCTTAACATTGACTTTAATGAATTTAGGTGGTGTTGAGCTTTAGGAGTTTGATTCAACTTGAAGTGAAGTCTTGAGGAGTTGATGAAGCTTATGTGATAAGAGAGACGACGCTTGCAGTGGAGCTCAAGCCAATCAAATTTAGTTTGGTTAGCATATTAGACAGAATTAATTAACTTTAGGTGAAGGAAGAAAGAGGCTCAATGTTAAGAGTAAATATGTTAGTAATAGATGAGTTGTGGAGCTCTAAGGAATTGAGCTCAGTTTGAATAGGGTATCAAGGAAAGCTTGGCAGTATTTGTAAGCTTAAATCATAGCTTAAGTAGAGCTTTCTGAGAGAAGAACGCAATGTCACTAAAGCTTTAAGGGAATTAGTGGAATTTTAGCAGGTTGCAATGCTGAAATTTATTTTGAAATTTTTTTTTCTTAAGCTCGCTTAAAGTAATCCTTTAAATAAAGCCATCAAGCAAGTATATTCAGGTTTCTTATTATTTTATATTTATTTTGTAACTTATCTTAAATTTTTTAGTAAATGAATTCATTATTTTATTCATTAGACAGTTTTTTTTTTTTAATTATATAAAACTTAATTTAAATCATTAAAATGGTCCTAAGAAAATAAATTCATAATTAACTCTTAATAAAAAATGGTAAAAATTGCGTTGATTATTTTCTTGTCTAAAAAAATTATTCCCTTAGCTTAAGGCTTTATCTTTGAGATTTTCTGCGAATATATATCTTTTCTATATTAGAATTAAAAAAAAAAAAAAATATTTCTTTTGTATAACACATATACATACAAAGCTATAGACAGTGGACACATTTTTAAAAAATGTAACAAACATATTAAATCCGATTTATCTATTCAATTGTTGCCCAAGTGCAGAGAAAGATCTAGATGCCACACTTCAAACGACTTCAGCTTGCCCATAAGCCGTGGCGGCTATTGTAGCGAGCGCTTAGCTCTTGACTGATAGTGAAAAGACAACTCATATAACAACAGTTGAAAACAACATTTAACGGCAACAATGCTTGCAACAACAACAGTGAAGGCAAACGCACAACGGCAATCACATTAGCAAGACAATCCGGCAATGAGTGCGAGGCGCACAGCAGACAGCGCAATGGAAGCCGCCTTCAAATACAAGCCAACCACATTGTGAAAAGCCGCCAAACCTGCACCACACTCTCGAGCCGCCAAATTGAATGGACGGGAGGGGCGGAGGAGATGTCAGTGGATGGGGCGGCGTATCGGAGACGAGTGACGGCGCCAAAGTCAAAAGCGTAATTGAAGCTTGTGCCTCAGTTAAACGCTGGCGATTATGTCTGCTGGCTTTTCATGGTGAGCCGCAGCGGCCGATAGCAACAGCAACAACAACAACAACAGCAGCAGCAGCAGCAGGTTGAACCTGCCACAAGGATTATGCAGCCCCCGTAGCTGCTTCCTGGTTGCCTAAAAGCCCGAAACAACCGAAACTGTAACCGTAACGCCAGTAACCAGAAGGCCGTAAACGATAACCGCAAACGACGAGCTGAAAACTGTAGCTGAAAATTGTAGCTGAAAACTGCAAACTGAAACCGAATCACGAATCGCAATTGATTTGTTTTTGTTGTTGGCATTTGCCGCTCTTAACGAAGTCATCATAAATTGAGCTGTCTGGCGCGTTGAAATATGTCGCCAGCTGAACATGTGAATGTTGTCGCCACGCCCCCCTCCACCACCTAACTACACAATTTCGACTCGTGCAATTTAAATGTGCAACGAACCAGCAACAGCAACATCAACAACAACAATTGCAACAACAGCAACTGCAACTGCAACAGTCATGATATTGCAATTGAGTTGATTGGCATTGCCGTTCTGGCCAACGGGCTAAGCCGTCTAATGCAGGAAGCGCCTTAGCAAAAATATTTGCTGTTACGCTTTAGGCCTAATTTGATAAGGTATTCGATCATTAAGCTCGGCTGGGAAAGGATTATTTATTGTTGCTTATCTAACAAATGTTTTTCAAATGATTGCAGAGAAAGCTTGCATTTATCCAAAAATAATAAAGCTCAGAAAATAGTTCATCAATTGAGATATGATTGACATTTGCCATAAAGGGCCTATTATTTAGATGATATTATATATAGATTAAATTTCACTCTTCATAATATTACAATTTATTATAAATAATTGTTTAAAATGACAAATAATAAATAAATAAATGAACTATTTCTATATATAAATTAATATATATGCATATAGTGATAATTTGAATATAAAATATGAGATTCGAGAAGAGGAGGAAAGAAAATGTTTTGAAAATATGAAGATAAAAATGAAAAAATAAATAAATAAATAAAAAATGATATAAATAAGGATAAGAAAAAAATATTTAAAAATATTAAAAAATATTTAAAAATATAATTTGATTTTTGAGAAGTTAAATAATATGTTTTAAGATAAGATATGAGTTTTGAGAAGAAAATATTAAACTTTAAAAAGCAAACAAATATAAAATTTAATTTTTGAGAAGAAAATGTTAAGAAAAAAGTAAAAAATATATAACGAACAAAATATATAAAATAAATATTAGTAGACAAATATATTTATAGAATATTTATTTTATTTATTTTTAGAATAATATAGATTCTTTAAAGTGATAGAAATATTGTTAACAAAAATTTGTATTCCATGATTTTTAGATTTGATTTCTTATTCCAGAAAGTACTGAGCATATAATAACATAATTAATATAAATTAAAACAACCATAAACGCTCGGCTCAATCACCTTGGCCCGAGCTCCTTTTAATGAATAACAATTTGCTTGCAATGAATATAATCTTGAGTTAATTTGTGGACATTCATAAAGGCGGTTCATATGCAGTTAATAGAGCAACTATGTGTTTATGTGTTATCAACACGTTTTTTTATTTTTCAGTAGGATTTTCCGGTTAACCTATTGCGTAACGGCAAACGCGGCTAACAGCTAGCAAACAAATGGCCAAAACGACACTTGCAGTTGGTCAGCAGCTCATCCGTTGGTTAACAGAAACATTTTCCGCAACTGGAAAAACACACACAAAATAAAAGAAATTAAATAACAAAGAAGCAGACGAAAAAGAAGTGAAGCAAAGCAAAGCAAAGTAAAGTAAACTAAACTGTTTTCACTTTTCTATGCTCGTGATATAACATCTGAAATATATATAATTACAGCAAGTATATATATTACACACACAAACATATATATGAGTCTAGTTTTCTTTTGGTGATTTATTGGCCAGTCCAATTGGCCGGGCAATTAAAGCCGATGATATAATCGGACCAGTTGAGACGCTCGGACTCACAACAAAGTCAAAACTCCCAATGCTTGAGTAAACAAATTGCGACCGGTTCTCCGGTTAAGCTGGGGGCCCGGTTATACATTATAGCCGCGCTGTAAGCCAAGTGTCCAAATAAGAAACTCATATTATTAATTGAGCCGATTGAACGGCACAGAGCATTGCACCAAAAATCGTTTGTTGGCCGGGTCATTAGCAGCAAATTAAGTGAATGTGACAACGGGCTGCAACAACAATGGCAATAACAACAATAGCAACAACAACAATAGCAACAACAACAACAACAAAAACAAGGAGAACAACAAACGGAAACGAGCAACATTTGCAGCGAACTTGGCTGAAAGCCTTTCAATCAATCTCTATGTCAATATTTGTGCAATAAAAACTGGCCCAAGGCCAAAGGGACTCGCTCGCTCAATCAATTGGCCAGGCCAGCCAGGYCAGGCCAAGCCATGTCGGGCCAAGCCAATTGGCTACTTCGTTAAGGCCACATTTGGCTAACCTGTTGGCCAAGCGGCGCCACAAAGAAATAATCCAAGACGTGGCCACAACGAAAGCCTTTCGCTTTTCAGCGAGGGTCGCATTGTGAGTTTTGTACTGAACGAAGCTTTATTTGAATTTCTGATTTGGGATTATATTTTTAGAAGAATTTTTCTTATTGGAAATTTCCTTAAATTATGCGAAAAATTGTAAACAGTTATAGATCAGATAGCTAAAATAATTTAGCAGTTTAGCTTTGCCTTTAATATCTGGCTTGAGTTCTCTACTTTATATAGAAGCAATCAATGAATAAAATTGATAATTGATAATTGTTTATTTTAATTTAGTTTATTTGGGACACTTTTGTTTTAAATATGATTTTTTACATATGATTTTTAAAACAAAAATAATAGTACAGTATTTTAATAGCAG